AGTGCGTTATTCTAAACGAAACTAAATTTTTTCGTTAGAATTAAATACCTGTGCACAAGGCACCAAATTTTTACTTGGACACGGCCAAGATATAAAATTGGAATAATCTCTACAAGAGATTTTTAATTCCATGTATCCCCTATTCCCCCGAAAGAAATAAAGTGCGAGAGAAAAATATAGATCCGAAAGTCGCAGAATCGGGAATCGAACCCGAGACCTTTCGCTTGCCGGGCGACTGCTCTTCCAGCTGAGCTATTCAGATCCTTTCGATTCTATACTTTTCTCTGTTATATATATTAATGTTGGTAAATAAACGCCTTTAAGCCAGCGTGTATAAATTAAGAGTTTAACTAGGCTCTGTAATATATAAATATAAATTTAACATATATAAGATAGGCAATAAGAGCCAAATCGCGGATAACAGTGCGTTATTCTAAACGAAACTAAATTTTTTCGTTAGAATTAAATACCTGTGCACAAGGCACCAAATTTTTACTTGGACACGGCCAAGATATAAAATTGGAATAATCTCTACAAGAGATTTTTAATTCCATGTATCCCCTATTCCCCCGAAAGAAATAAAGTGCGAGAGAAAAATATAGATCCGAAAGTCGCAGAATCGGGAATCGAACCCGAGACCTTTCGCTTGCCGGGCGACTGCTCTTCCAGCTGAGCTATTCAGATCCTTTCGATTCTATACTTTTCTCTGTTATATATATTAATGTTGGTAAATAAACGCCTTTAAGCCAGCGTGTATAAATTAAGAGTTTAACTAGGCTCTGTAATATATAAATATAAATTTAACATATATAAGATAGGCAATAAGAGCCAAATCGCGGATAACAGTGCGTTATTCTAAACGAAACTAAATTTTTTCGTTAGAATTAAATACCTGTGCACAAGGCACCAAATTTTTACTTGGACACGGCCAAGATATAAAATTGGAATAATCTCTACAAGAGATTTTTAATTCCATGTATCCCCTATTCCCCCGAAAGAAATAAAGTGCGAGAGAAAAATATAGATCCGAAAGTCGCAGAATCGGGAATCGAACCCGAGACCTTAATTCTAACGAAAAAATTTAGTTTCGTTTAGAATAACGCACTGTTATCCGCGATTTGGCTCTTATTGCCTATCTTATATATGTTAAATTTATATTTATTTATAAAATTCTTATTTTTCCAGAAAAAATGTAAAAAATATCCCGCATTACACTGTTAGAAATCCTTAAAAATAGAAATAAGTATATTACTTAGAAATAATCACAGGCTGTATCAAGACCAACTTTTATACACCGAATGGTTAAAGTAGATCGAAATGTTCAACTCGACTGGAATAAAATTTTATGGCATTGCATAAAAGAGAGCATTGCAGTTGCGATGATAGATAAACGAGAAAAAGCGAAATTTACCTGTCATCCAAACTTTTCTAAAAGAAATGTCAAGCTGTAGTATCGATTGGTCGAGCCACAGATAAATAAACCGAGATATGTTATCAGATTTACGTCGGAATAAAAATTTCACGATGCAGCGAAATATACGATTCAAACAATTCTCTTTCGATAGTTACCTTTTCAACAACGTCAACACAATTTCCTTTATCTATTCTTTTTTATTTATACTAAAGAATACGATGAGAAAAAATACAACAAAAATATTATACAAGGCATAATTATAAATACAATTATATAAATATAATTTTGGAGTTTGGATGAAAATGTATACGACGTGCTAAAAGATTCTGCCTCTTTCAGGAATGAAAAAATCAGACTCTCGTAATACCTCGCATATTTTCCTTGAATAAAATCACACAGAATGCAAAAATGAAATTAATCCCAGAGATTAGTGCGAATCTCCCGGTGAACTCGAGCCTTATCCAGCCGAAGGAGACTCCCGCCGCAAGCTTGAAGGACGATCCCGCAGGTACGTAAGAACGACGGTGAAGTGAACTACGGAGGAAACGGAAACCAGAGACCGGGAAACCCGAGGCGTCGTACTTGCGCGTGAACGAGCTCGATTTAAATATTAAAAGGAGGAAGGAGGGCGAAAGGAGAGTCGTGCGATCCCGATGGCCATCAGAAGGACTGGCGGGCAAGGATGGGCAGAGAGAATGAGAGGACGTCGACAACGAGGACGATTTATATTCGCGGTATCCCTTCGTTCGTTAACGAGCACTGGGTATCGCAACGCCGCCGGGTGCATTATTAACAAAGCATGAAAATTTAGACGCGCGATTTACAAGCCCGACCTGGAGCACGTTTGTGCGAACGGATGATATTCATAGGTATACATGTATGTAGCATACGAGGTGTGATATATGCATCTAGGTACGTGCTATTCTCGTCGATTTTCTCTGCGGATTTACTCCACGTTATGTTCCTTCGCGCGGATCATTTCTAGAACGAAACCTTCGCGAAACGTGAGGAAGGATTAGTGTAATCTCGCATGTAAAACTATTTTAACATTACAATAAATTGTGTGTGTAAATTGTACAATTTAACTTGACCAAAGCTTTCAATATATTTATTGCGTGGTTTAGACATAAAATTAAAATTTTATAATAAGATAAAAAAATGTAATTTTTCTTTTTACTTCAAGTTTGTATGATCTCTTTAATTTAAATCTACTGTATTTTATACGCAGCATCGTAAATATTTATAACAATTAAATCTGATGATATTTAAAAAAAGAACTTTGTACGAAAAAAAGACTAAGTTTTATTATAAATTATTATTAAACTTTATTAGGTGAAACTTATTATTATTATATTGTTGATATGTTATATTAATTGACCTTTCCACTTTGTTTAACTTTTTCTTCTTGCGATATGGTGGAAGACAAAACTCCATAAAACTCGATAGAGTGTCTAACATCAATATCGTGGATTATGTTGCAGTTCGACGGTTCGAACTGCCGTCATTTGATAAAAACTTCTAATGAACGGAAAGCGATATCGCCGCCAACAATTAATAATTGCCATCGCGCGAAGGGCTCGCTCATTTCTCACGTGTAAGCTTCTCGGAATTGCGGGTTTCAATTAACGCTCTCGAAGGCCCGAGTCTTCATTTACGAGTAGAAAAAAAATCCTCTAATTCATAAATCACTTCTACGCTCGATCGCAGTGGATCTACTTACGCGCGAAAGAGAAAAAAAATTTAAATCGTTATAAATTACGTACAATTTTCTTATCTCACGGACAATTAAAGATGTTATCGCCCGGTTCTGGGATGCTGCGGGCGCAACGGGTTAATGTAGCGCGTTAAACTGCCTTCATTCGGGGCGCTAATTCCCTAAATTTTTCAAACTTGCGCCATGAATTCGCCGCTCCGCGAGAGAAAGACTGCCTTTTAATCCCCGACTTTTATGCCGCGGCTCGGTCGCGCTATTTAGACTGAGTTATTAGCCGTAATCGTTACCGCGTTTTTCGAAGGGAGAGAAGGGGTTGTCACCCCCTCCCTCTCTTTTACGATCAATAAAAACGGCGAAAGACGGCATTTCGTGTCGACCCGAAGAGCAAAACTCGATTCGAGAATAAATGCGACGAACGGCCGCGCCAAGCCGGAAATGCACTGCAAACGAATACGAGTGGTCGAGGAGGTCCTTTACTCGAGATTCTCTCGTAACAAAAATCTCCATGGAAGGCATAAACTTTATACGGGCGATCGCCATTGATATTCATTTCGCGGCGCGCGAAACAAATTTCCATCGAAAGGGACTTTATAATCCTGTCATCGTTTTTTTCTCTCTCTCTCTCTGATCCCCCACCGCGTTTCGGTGTCACATAATATAGCCGATATTATTCTTCCGGGTGAATGGGAGAAGGTATAGCTTTTTATGCATTTGGGCTCCCCGGTTTTTATTAAACCCATTAAATCTGTCCGTATGAAGTACATTTCGATGTTATTGCGCGTAGTATAAATTATCGTATTGTAGATATAAAATTTGAGACAAAATTGTTATTCGATAGCAATAAAATCGTGTACCCATGTAATACTTTATAACTCAGAAAAGTAATAATAAGCAATTTCCTAATATAATAACGTCAAAAAAATGTCAAGAAATATTTCAAATCACTTTCGATCATTCAGATCACTTAACGAATTACAATTAATATAAATGCGAGGAAAATATATGTACAGTAATTTATTCTCTATAGAGAAATAAAATGCTAATTCTTTTTTATTTAAATGTGCATTCTAAAAAGGAGAGTAAAAAGGACAGCTAGAATTTTATTAAGTGTAAAAAAAACTTACATCTCTTTTCTCTCGGTTTACACTGTCACGTTTAGTTCACCCGATCTTTTCGAGTTTCCTGACACGTACTATCTTGTCTTTTTTATTATTTTTGCAGTTCCAGTAACTTTCTTTCGTCAGAGCGCAAGGAAACTCCGTCCTAACTTCTCGAGAGCGAAACCGGTGAACACTCTGTGTCTCGCAGTATCACTTCCAATGAAATTAGTGTTTTATTACAATTTTCAATGGTATTTTATATTAAACTCGATCCTAGGTGCATCTCTGTATTAAATGAATAAGGATCAATTTGTGATATTATCTCGAAAATAAATCACGCTCAAAGAAAATGATGCAACTGATAAAAAATATTTAGCCATATCACTAAAACAGATAAACTGATACTTTCAAAATTTGGGAGAAATAACAAACGTCAAATATCATTTAATGCCATAGCCGGAACAATTCTGCGAGAAAAATATCGTGAGAACGTTGAAGTGTCTCATTGTTGGACAAAGCCGTATCGCCGTCGTCGGCGGGACAACACGAGCGAAAAGAGGGTATATTCGGCAAAGAAACACCGAAGCCGGATGTCCGTCGCGTCGACAAAGAAACGAAGGATGAGGAACGCGATGAAGGATCCGACGGCTAAAGTGTCATTGAAGAATTCGCGGGGACTGGGAAAGAGAGATCCGAGTCGGGTGTCTCTCTGATAACCTAACGCCGATCGTAGGAACAATTTTCTTCCGGGGGATGAGTTGTATTTACTCACCCTGAACTCCCCGCCGCAGCCGTCGTCCAACTCCAAGAGGTATCCCTCGATAGCTGGGCCTCTTTGCCCGGCGCAACCTATAATCCCGTGCCCAGGTGGCGGCTGCCAGGCAACGGTGACGCTGTTGTTCTCGGCGCTGCACTCTTCGGGGATCAGTAAAGGCGCTCCGGGTGCTGGAAATACGTCGAGACGGTTTAAGTAGCGCTCCATGTTTCCGAGAAAAGCAAAATAATATAGAAGTCAAATAATAATTTACTGGGTTTAATAATGTCGTTTGACAGGTGAGGAAATTTGGGATTAATTTGGATTTCGTAACATATTCGCGATGAGTCGACAGAAGCTTCAGTCGTTATGTTAAATAAATAAAGATGTGCCAACTGAGTCATAGATTTTTTCCCTCTAATAATCATGTGACATGATGTGACGGAAAAATTAGAAAATAATATAAGAGTAAAATAATATACTGGGTTTAATAATGTCGTTTGACAGGTGAGGAAATTTGGAATTAATTTTGATTTCGTAACATATTCGCGATGAGTCGACAGAAGCTTCAGTCGTTATGTTAAATAAATAAAGATATGCCAACTGAATCATAGATTTTTTCCCTTTAATCATCATGTGATGGAAAAATTAAAAAATAATATCGGAGTAAAATAATGTACTGGGTTTAATAATGTCGTTTGACAGGTGAGGAAAATTGGGATTAATTTTGATTTAGCAACATATATTCGCGATGACTCGGCAGAAGCTTTAGTCGTTATGTTAAATAAATAAAGATAAGCCGACTGAATGATGGATTTTTCCCTTAATTTAAAATCGAAAAACATCATATTAATGGTCGTATGATGGAAAGATTAAAGCCATTAAAAAAATATGATAAAACTTATAAACCAAAGTTGACTCGTAAGAATAAAGTTATAAGCAGATTATAAATGTTGTACCTGTTTAACAAGAGTTTTCAATCCCCGGAATTTTCTACTTTGATAGAACTTAGCAACACACTTAGCAAGTTTCCCAAATAAGTAGCTAAACATTCGCGTTTTCGTAACGAAAGGATTTAGGTAAAGCATTTAACTTTATAAATTTCCAACCGACAAAGTTCGTTTCTAAGTCACTTTAAAAGCAACTATAGTTTGTAAGTAAAAAGGAAATTGTCATCTAAATAAATTAAAATTAAATGTAAGTTTAAAAATTAGAATAAAATAGATAGAAGAAAAATAATATATCGAGAATATAAAAAATATGCAAAATAATAAAATAATATATATGTAACAAGATATGTGTATATACATATAATATATATTTAATATATATATATATTTATGTATATCCTTTTCCGATTTTTTATAGATACTGGGCGGAAACAGAGAAACTTCGCGGAAACATAACAATAAAATTTGAAAAGTGTCATAATTTGTCGTGTTAAATCGAGCTGAGGATAAGATCGCAAAAGGCCTATAAAATAAAATACACGTTCACACACAAAAAAGATCATTAAGTGGTTTTATCGGTTCGACAGTTTTAACTGGCTAATTTAAATGCAACATGATCTGAAATCGCATCGCTTGGCTCCAATTCGATTTGCCTCAAAGCCGGATTGCCAATGATGACCTTCGGCGGCAATAATTTCACGATTTAAACGGGTCTCGGGGCTGCCGAATTTGCCACGAGTTTCCTAACGACGAATGGAACCCGGTCGTTGCCGTGCGACCGCACGATTCCATTCGTTGCTGACTGTCTAAGGTACAAGTCGAAGCCGTGCAAATTATTGCCCGGCCGCTCCTATCTAGATTTCTGTCCGGCAGAAAATGAATTGAGCTGTATCGATGCGGAGCACCATATCTCAATTTGTCAAATCTCGATCGGAATAGCTACATAAATTCCTTGATAATACGCTAGAATCGAATTTATTCTTCACTTGCGACATTACAAGTCAAACTTACATAATCATTTATTTCCTATAAAATTGCGAGAGATATTAGATAAAAAGTATGCGTATTTTCATTTACATTTTATATATTTTTATTTTTAATAAATATTATTAATGAGGGCAATTAAAAAAAATTTCATTATATTAACATACGAAGAATCTAATAAGAGAAAAAATGTCATTCGCTGAAACAAATCTCTAAATAAATCTCCGCGCGCGTTTTGCTCTCGTGATAAAAGATCGATCGTTATCGAAACGATTGACGTTGGCTCGCGCGTTCATTATGAAGCACACAAATGTTAGCGCTTTCAGAAGCAGCATTAACGCGAGCTGCAGGCGGTATCGTTGATGCTTCTACGCGTAATTATCTGGCTTTCAGTGGAAACTCGGGCCGCGTCGCGACGCGGGTCGTCAACTCGTCGGTTTAACTTGCGCCGCATGCTAATAAACCGAAAGCATTTCCCCTTTCACTCGACCGTCCGCGCGTGCGGTTTCGCGCAAACTTATCTCCAAGACACTCTCGACGGCGATGCGCTTCCGGCTTCCCGTCCGTTTCGCTCGTCGATTCCGGATGCGCCGGCGAGCATAATTCGATCAGACGTCGCGACCGTGGAGTAAACACGCGGTCTCGAGAAGGCCAAGACTGGCAAACAACATGTCGCCATCAGAATGAGGGAAACATGTCGCGAAAGACATCGCGGCTTGTTTTCCTTGCACTCTCTGTCGGTTGATGCTATTAACTTATAAAAAAAAAAAAAAAAACGCGACCGCGAATCAACTCTTTCAGAGAATTGTGCTGTACATAGGGTGTCCCGTGGCTCTATTGTATTATTTTTGAATGACAAATTTTATTCATTCAAGGTTTCGATTTTTTTTACTCCGTGATAAGCTGCGGATAGAAAGGTCAATCTAGATAAATTGGATAAAATCTGTTTTCTATAATAGATAAAGAAAAATAAAGTCAGTCAGATCAATAGATCGCGATCGAAATGGCAATGAAAGTGCATACGCATTTTGCGAATTAAAAAAATGGAATTTCAATGGCACATTTTTTACGGAAACGAAAAAGCACTAACTTTGATAATTCTATGGAATAAAAGCCGTGGAAGCTGTGATTCTATGTAAAACTAATCACCTTTCCGATTTCGATGAAATTGACTCGTACATTCAATGATGTACAAAATTTAATATTTTTTCAATATATAATACCTATATATACATGTATACAATATATAATAGAAAAAATCAAATTTTTTTCTATAGAATAAAAATATAATCTTTTATACGAGAAAATATAATTTCTCGCATGGGATTGAAAAGTGTAATCTTTACATAGGAAACTGTCGCGATACGAATAAATTGCAATAAAGAGAGAGAAAGTTAAACGTAAAAAATTATACATAATATATATCGAGATAAGAAAGAATAAAATTCTTATAGATTCAAGTACTTTGAATATTTGATCAGAACACGCGACGCATAAAAAGTTTAGTATTACAATAAACGGCTCAAAACGTCAAGTCAACTTACATGTTTAAATTTCAATTTCGCGAAATATCGCGTGAAGTTAAGTTGACGGAGATGAAGTTTGAGAAGCGCGTTATATAAAGTTTATGAACTGTTAATTCTGTTTTATAAACAAACACCCCGGGATGCGAAACACTCGGGATAGTGTTCCGTCCGCTCCGACGTCAAGGAAGGCTTAACATGTGTATGCATAATTAACCGGCTTCATGCTTGACAGCAAATCGTCATGGAGTTCAGCGGATCCTTGGAGAGAACCGTTCTACTCTGCAGCACGCTTTAAGGTCCCTGCGGTGTCTCGCGTTATGAAATTAGGCTAATGGCACGAGCGTTACACAACTATGTTCGGCGTTGAATCAACGGAGCTTTAATGCAAATTCAGGTCGTCTCCTTTCTCTTTCTCTCTTTCTTCAAAAACAATTATTATTTTTCTTCTTATTCCTAATTAAACGGCAAACAAACTCGGGGAGAAAAACACAGTTTTCATTTAAGTGGGTTCACTAGAAGATTATTTGAAAACTAAATGCTAGTCTATCTGAAAATCGCTCTATCGGTTCAACACAGCTTTGTTATTGAAAATAAAAAGAAATTCGTAAGGCAAAAAAATAATTTTATTCGAGAAAATATGTATATATATAAGTTATATGTGCATATAAATATATATATATATATATAGAGAGAGATTCGAGAAAATATATATCGCGCGACTTGGAGATTTCTGATTTTTTGAGGCGTAATCTCTCGAGTAAGATCGAGCATAATTTGCGCGGAACGCGATAAAGATCGACGAGATAAAAGTCGTTTATGCCCGGAACAGGGGTAACGGCGCGGCGTCGCGGGCGGAGAATAAACTCACTCTGTTTCATCGCTTATCGCGATCCAAAAACTCGTGTAATCCGACGTGGAACCTCGATGGAGCCGTTCGAACGGTAAATTCTGCCGCGCCACGTCCCGTCCGCTCTTTATACCGTCGACATTACTATCGATTATCCCGGATTTCGTCGGATTTCACGTCGGCGCTATCGACGTGCAACATCCCCCAAGTATTACAGTCAGCGCCGACGATTATTTCTCACAATGTCATTTTCGAAATAAGAGACACGCACGTGTATACAGGATATATATAAAATGCGAAAAATTTTCGATGATTTTTGGTCGAAAATCAAGGGGAGTTTCTTAAATAAACATATACTCTTATCCCTTCTTAAGGGAGGAGTTAAAGGAGGTAAAAATTAAGTTTGAATTTTTTTCCTCAAATTTCAGACAAATTAAAAAAAAAATAAAACTTGGTGGATATTTTCCGCTTCATTTTCGACAAAGAATCATCTCCTAAAATTTTATGTATATATCTTCAGCATATCCTTAATTAAAATAATTATTTTGTTAATTGATTTTAGCATTTGAAAATACCGATATACTGTTGCCCGTAACGTTTTACGATTCAACCCAATAACGGCAAAGAATCCGCAAAGAGAAAGAGAAGAGAGAAAAGAGGGTTGGCGCGAAATAACGGAACCGCGGCGTCAATTAAAATCGCCTAAAAAAGTCGTGAGAGACCACGTGAAATATCGATCATTTTACGAGAACACGCGCTCGTAAAAGCGAGAATAAATGGGCGGGACAGGTGCACGGGAGTGACTTGAAGATCTCTCGCTCCGAGAAAGGACCATAGGGCGTAGAAACACAACAGGGCAGATAACAAAAATTCTCCCTCTCTCTACGGCCGCCCTTTTTACAGTTTGCAATGGGTCCCGACGTGAATCGACACGCCAGCGAAACTTTATGCCTATATCGGAGTGATTTATCGAACGGCGCGAGACACGTCGCGTTGATATCCGATATCCGTAGACTGCGTCTCTCTTTCTCTCATTCATTCTGTTCTCTTTGCGAGAAAAACGTGGAAAAAGGGTGCATTGATAAGGGAGATACGGAGAGAGAGAAAAAGAGAAGCGTGATGATGCGAAGAGCCTGTTAAAATGTATCGCGTACGCGAAAATATACATATATCTCGCTGATATGAAACTTAGCGAGAGATGAAAATAAACTTGGCAAGAAAGGATGGACGGCTCTCGACGTCGCGAAAAATGCTCTTCTCGCGAGACTCGACCGTGATCTTGAGGAAGTTCCTCCTCTTTCACGCTTCACCGTCGACGCAGAAGTAACAATCACGTTCGCTTCGACACTTTCGTTTCTGATCGCGAGTCAACTGATCTCCTTCGTCTAGAAGCTTCTTTAGCTTCTAGACTTCTGAAAGTCCTTCGACTATATATATATATATATATATATATATACTTTTGATTTGAACTTCGATATGATGCGATAACTCTTTCTTCTTTATGTCGAGAGTTTGCAGATACAGACATTTATTATTTATTGCCTTCGCGTCGAGCAACTACGATACAAGTTAATGAAATGAGAGAGAAAGAGACTTGACAGTTCGACTTCAGACTTGTGTAAATTATTCATTTCTACTTCTTATTCACGAATGTGATGAAAGATTTCTTTTGGTTCCTTTTTAAAAATTAAATATTTCTGCAAAATATCATATACGATTCATCAGGCTTGTCTTCCCAAAAATATACTACAGATTACTATTTCATTGTCAGTCTTCATTCGGTGATTTGAACGCGGAGAGAATCGTTATTAAAAGAGCGATCGGTGGCGTTGACGAACATTTCTTTTGGTTCCTTTTTAAAAATTAAATATTTCTGCAAAATATATGATTCATCGGGCTTGTCTTTCCAAAAATATACTATAGATTGCTATTTCATTGTCAGTCTTCATTCGGTGATTTGAACGCGGAGAGAATCGTTATTAAAAGAGCGATCGGTGGCGTTGACGAACATTTCTTTTGGTTCCTTTTTAAAAATTAAATATTTCTGCAAAATATATGATTCATCGGGCTTGTCTTTCCAAAAATATACTATAGATTACTATTTCATTGTCAGTCTTCATTCGGTGATTTGAACGCAGAGAGAATCGTTATTAAAAGAGCGATCGGTGGCGTTGACGAACATTTCTTTTGGTTCCTTTTTAAAAATTAAATATTTCTGCAAAATATATGATTCATCGGGCTTGTCTTTCCAAAAATATACTATAGATTACTATTTCATTGTCAGTCTTCATTCGGTGATTTGAACGCAGAGAGAATCGTTATTAAAAGAGCGATCGGTGGCGTTGACGAACATTTCTTTTGGTTCCTTTTTAAAAATTAAATATTTCTGCAAAATATACGATTCATCGGGCTTGTCTTCCCAAAAATATATTATAGATTACTATTTCATTGTCAGTCTTCATTCGGTGATTTAAACGCGGAGAGAATCGTTATTAAAAGAGCGATCGGTGGCGTTGACGAACATTTCTTTTGGTTCCTTTTAAAAATTAATTATTTCTGCAAAATATACGATTCATCGGGCTTGTCTTCCCAAAAATATATTATAGATTGCTATTTCATTGTCAGTCTTCATTCGGTGATTTGAACGCGGAGAGAATTGTTATTAAAAGAGCGATCGGTGGCGTTGACGATGAAGCGTGATTGCGACGTCGCATAAATTAATGAGCGAATTAATCTGCCAGGGAGGAGGTAAAATCCCTGTTTACCCGCGTGTTATCTCGACGGGACGTATACGTACAGGACATTAACGTCGCATTGTACGGTCATCAGCCTCGTCTGCGACAAGCGAGCGTTTAATTTTCCGTCCGATGTCTGGACCGATTCATCGTGCTCTATATTTCCTGTTCGTAGCGTGAAACCTAGAGTAACCTCTATCGAGTATAAACAGGACCGAAATACGATGCGACGCTAAACGTTGTTTCGTCGGACAGGCGAGTTTTTCATGACAAGTTTAACGAAAAAAAAAAAAAAAAAAAAACTACAATAAATAACACCATCTGTTTGTCACCACTTTTCGCTGAAACGCGATAAATGCGATAATCTTAACACCGTCATAATATTTGACCGGATAATATTATTCGCGCTCGTTTAATTGGATGCCTCGATATGTTATTCCTATATATATATATATATAATTAAAGCGAATGAGATGTCTGAATTTTTAACGATGAGACAAACTTTTAGCCACAATCCGATCGCGGTTCTAAAATCGCGGAAGCGGATAATGATGAGATTTTGAGCGGCGCCCCGAAAAAAGCTGGCAATTTTTCGTGTCGTAAAACTCGAATACCGCCGCAATAAAGTCTAAATTTAAGAAAGCGGAGCCGCTCGTTCGAGAGTTTCGGCTCGTCGCGTCGATTGCTCGTCCCTTCCTCGTTCCAAATCATAACGACAAGAGAATCAACGACTTTTTGATGTTCGTTCAAGCTTCAGTAAAAGATCGAAATCAAGCGCAGATCAAGCGAGCGCAAATAACGATAAACGAATTTCGCATTTTTGCCCTGTCTATCGTTCGTCGTCGATTCGGTGCTGAGGGTCGATAACTCGATTTCTTGTGGTTGCAGCTATTACAATCGCATTTGCAAATTTTTGAATTTTCGTGGGGAGCACAAGAATAATTTAAACGAATTATTGACGAGTTGTCATTTCTCTCATCATCTATTTTCTCAATAATATATAAATTGAATAAATATTTGATTATTTTTCTCCGTAAAAATTGTAGCTTCAAGAATCAGTGATAAATACAAGTACAAATTTTAATGAAAAAAAAAAAAAAAAAAAAAAAATGTGTTAATCAACATAATGTCAAAAATATATATACATGTCTATACTTTTCCAATATATTACATTCGTTGGATTCCGGAAATTTTCGCCCGAGCGATTTCGTCGCAAACTTTACGCGAAATCCTGACGAACTTGGAAGTTTCCTCGCGGGGCAGCACATTCCTCGCTTTGCTATTTGCAAAGCCGGGTTAAGTAAATGAAATTCCGTGTGACTGCCAATCAAGTATCGCGGATTTTAACGAACTGAAGCGTGCCGCTCTTTGACGAGTAAACTGCGCGTAATGAAGAAACTTTCTGTTATATACCCGATTTTGTATCAAGATCGCCCGAGAATTAAATATCCCGGATGCGGAGAACCCCGGCAAAGTCGTACTTTCCTTCGACCACGTAATCATTTATCGGGTTTCGTTAAATAGATTTGTATTTCATTACTCTCTCCGGATCGCGGGGCGTTGATTAGAAATCCCTGTCGCAAATCCGTTAAGATATATAACGAGCAAATAGAAGCGAGTTTCCTTCCGATCGCGATCCTTTAATTTTAACCGCAAGCGAGAATCTCGCTTGTAATTTTATTTACCGCTCGGAATCGACAGAGAGAGAGAGAGTGGGATTCTCCTTATAACGCGATTCTCTCGCCTCTAACGCTGCAACGTTATTAAGTTACACATACGTCTGTAAACACATGTTAATCAGACGCGATTAACATTTCCCAACATGACATCGGGCACCACGTACTAACACCCCGGTATCGGAGAGTCGCGTATACTCAGACGAAGAGAGAGGATGTCTCCTTGTAACGAGTTAATACCTCGAGATCGTTACGGCAGTTACTGCAAAGCCGGTACCTAATTAATCCGCTTTTGAAACGTTTTAGCGTGCCGTAAGGCTGACGGCGGCGAGGAGGCACGCTTGAAAGGAGCCACTCCCGAGGACTACGTAAAATTATTAAGCAATTCTCCTCTTTTCCCCTCCCCCCACCCCATCCTTGACCCTCCCCCTTCGTCTAGACGACTTGGATAGATCGACGCCTCCTCCATCTTTCTTAATTACTATTTTTCTTGCTCGATTTTTTTCTCGTTTCGTGTTGTCGCTACCTTAATAGGCGTCTCTCTCTAGTTACGTTTTCCCGTGTCTGGGCTTTTTTCTTTACCTGCTGTCGGAAATCGTTCCTCCCCTTCTGACGCTGCGTCCAACAGGAGAGCGATTTGTAATCGGTTGAAGATTTTTTTTTTTTTTTTTTATGTTTTTATCATTATTTATGTACACACATATTGCATGCAAGCGAAACGTCAAAATGAAAAAACTCGTTCGAAAGTGTATTTTTCATCGAATATATTTTATTTTCGATTTTTCCCGTTTAATTCAAGCAATCGCGCGCAATTTATCATTTCCAGTTGTAAATCGCGTTGTGAAGTTACATATCTCTCGCGCAATTATCCATTTTAACTCTCGATATTTTAATTAATTAATAAACGAGCGTATACCTACTATAAAATTGATTTAAAAAAATTATAGCTAATTCAACTATCTACGTACGTCAACTCTGAAATAATCATCGCGCCAGTCGTTTCCGAGGATATATGTAACGAGATAATCGAAGTTGCACTAGCATGTAAAGTCTCGTTTGCAAGATAAACGACTACCAGCTAGCAAGACTCGTACAAAGCGAAAAGTTGCGCGATCAGCTTGGGGTACTGCTAAGATAAATCGCCCCGGACGAAAATCCCGGTGTAGTCGTGAAAACGAGGAGTTACGAGTCAATTAAGCGTACCAAGACGTCTTTCGAACGAGTTTACGTCGCTTTTACTCGACACGTATATATATACATAGATACATATACATATATATATACATAGATACACATACATACATATATATAACATAGATACACATACATACATATATATATATATAATATATATATATATAGGGTGTCCGGTAACTAACGGACCAATGATTAAGGGCGGATTCTCTGGCCAATTTGGAGACGATTTTTCCTTAGCAAAAAGTTGAGAAGTCAATAATTTTCGAGTTATAAGCGATTGAAAACTTTTGGAGTTAAAAGTCTAACATAATTATATTCTTCAGTTAATTTCAGATAGAGTTTACTATAATAAAATTTTAAATTTGAGGCTTAGTTATAAAGACACATAATGACAAATATTGGAAAGTTGTAAAAAACGACCTTTTTCGACATTTTCACTGAGGAAAATCGTTCCCAAATTGACCAAAGAATCCATTTGTAATCGTGGTCCGTTAGTTACCGGACACCCTGTATATATATATATGCCACGCGAATTATATAGAATAGAATTCGACGAACCACGATAAAGAATCAAAGTTCGGGCGACGAACCAGATGAATGAATTTCAAGGAGCCAACGAAATGTTTCCGCGAGTTGCCTCTCGTGACGGAAGGATATCTAATTTATTCAATCCGCCGCAGTGGTTTCCAAAGTTGAAATTAAAACGCCTTTCATCAAGTGTTTACAAAAGTTTTTTTTTTTATAAAACACTTGATTGAGAAATATTTTATAATATTTGAAAAATCGAAGATTTTTTATTGTAGACACAAATCCTTAATCATCTATTCTAAATGATAATTTTATTGTTATTCGTAACGCTAGATTGAAAGATTTTATTGTGTGTAGACACTTAAACGAGCATGTAATCTAGAATGAAATGTGTCGAAGTCCACGTACTTACACGTGTTTCTGTAACAAAATTATTTATCGGTCGGTACTTGCGTTAAATATCGTTGGCTCCCGCGAGTAACTTTCTCTCTAAACGCGGCAGATCCTACGATACCATGCTTCGACTAAACTTCCCAGCAATTAATTAAGACTTCCAAAGTCTCGTGCGCAGCAAAATCACTAACGTAAATAATCAAGTTTTGCTGGTTATACCAAAAAGTTTTTTGATCCGAGTTGGAAGAAGAAGTTAAAGATTCCGGTTCGACAAAGTCGTTCGCGCACAAGGATGTAAATTTATATTACAACAGTGGCGCGTTAGACTTAAACGCGACTGGTAGCTGGTAGCATGCAAAGGGATCTCGTTCGATTCAGCAACGTGTCCACGGAGAGAATTTTCTTTAGAATTTATCTTGAAAATCATGGTAATTGTGGGACGATGTATTATTGAAAAAATTTTACAAAAGTTTCTCTGATTAATATTTACATAGCAAAATTAATCGAACATATATATTTTATATGTCGAAATATTAATATTTTTTATTCTATATATATATATTTTATATGATCATTCGCGGTGACAGTGATAATAATAATATTTTGTTTATATGTCATATTTATTTATTGCAATATATAAATTATATATATATTGCATAAATATTAATTAGATTTCCCACGATTACCATGATTTTCAGGGTAAATTCTAGAAGAAAATTCTAAAAGAAGAAATTCAATCTACTCGCATGCGGACACATAAGTCGCACTTTGTACTCACGTTTCAGCTGGACGAAGGTCATCTGATCGATGGCGCGGCGCAGCGGCTTGTCGTCCAGGGTGAGATCCAGCAGCGGCAGACGAGCGATCTCCTGAACGCCCTCGGCGCCACCCCAGGAGCCGGCGGCGGTCGCCGCCTTACCGATAGCATGCCGCCGATCTGCAGGAAGGCCGCGCTGTCCGTCTCCTTCAGCGCCTCGATGCAGAAGGTAAGGAGCGCTGTAGTCGTCTGCAGATGCGTCGCGCATCTGGTAACCTGGTCGCGCAACGAGCGCACTCTGGCCTCGCGGGTCTGTCGAGCGGCCTCGATCAGTCGGGACTTCCTCGCTTGCAGGAGACTCACCAGGTTCGCCACCCGATCCTCGACCTCACTCTCGAGCGCCACGCATTCCTCCTGCGAACAAGCGGGATCATCGGCTGTAATATCGGGAATAACTCATCTCGGCGATTAAAAAAGAAAAAAGAACTTTTTGTTAGATGAGAGATTTTTCTGTACGTACGAAAAAAAATTACATTCTGCTCCGATCGATATATTCGGTGAGACGTATCAATTTTTTCTCTATCCGGAGGGTTTGTTACATTAGAATCTTTGTAAAAACATGATAATTTTTTTATCAGGAAATGTATCTCTATATAAAAATTTCGAATGTTTTTCACAAAACTAGTTGTAACTAAAAATATTTTTATATATCTCTTTGTATATGTACACATATGTATTTAAGAAAAATGCTTGTGCAAAATAGTATCGTGAACAAGAAAAATGATAGCAAATTGATTATTCCGCTTCTGTACGTACAAAAAAAATTACATTTTGCTCCGATCGATATATTCGGTGAGACGTATCAGTTGTTTTTTCTATCCGGAAGAGTGTGTTACATTAGAATCTTTGTAAAAATACGATGTTTTTTATTAGGAAATATCTCTATATAAAAATTTCGAATTTGTTTTTCACAGAACTATAGCCAGTAGCGAAAAATATTTTTATATTTCTTTGTGCACATATAAATTTATAAGAAAAATGCTTGTGCAAGACAGTATCGCGAACAAGAAATACGATAGCGAATTGATTATTCCGCTTAGCAAAGTGCAAGGGGATGGAAAAATAAACGCTGATATCCAAAAGGAATTTTATTGCTCGGCTTTTGTTCCACGGTTGTAAGATAAGCCGTCCCCGAGGGTTCTTTGTACATCCGAATTATCTCCTCAAACCATCGGAAATGAATCCGCACCGACGTTGCCGGGCTGATATAATTAACGCCATATCTTTTCGCAATTTTACGGCGCCATACCGCGTGACATGTCCGTCGACACGGAATTTAAAACGGACGTCAAAGGCGCGGGTACATATACTCACATGCACTTTGTCCGTCATTCCTTTGAGCCTTTGAATGAACTCCGCGTCGTCGAGCGGGCTCTCTCCGACAGCTGCTGCAAATTCTGCGACAGCTCCGTCTGTAACAGCAGAAATTCGCGACACGTGAGAGAACGTGCGGTGATTCGAAGGGGATTCAGCGGACGTGATATGTACGTAACATTTGTGCAATTGAAGATATACCGATGTAGGGAAGCGTTTTCGTTTTCTTCATTTTTTGCGAAATTTTCAAGGGAAAGGAAAAAATAAATTATATATGAAATTGCATGATAGAAAAGAAGCTGTAAAGTAATTTATATATCTTACGCGTGTGTTTGTATATTATACATGTATTATATGTAATATGTATAACCTGTTTTTCTTTCTTTGCCCCACAATAAAATTATCCAGAGATTATACATACGTGAATTGTATTAAATATTTGGTGGAGAAATAGAGAGACCGGTAACTAACGAAGATGAATTATACACCTAGCGTTCAATATCGGATCGATATGTCACGCTGGTTCCAATGGATAAACAGTCCTCGCATATAGGGAGTTTGTACTGAGCGCACATACGCGCAAACAGTCACGCTTTCGTGAACGAGCTCGTATTAAGTACATATCGTTGTTTGTTCAATAACGACATAAAGTGCTCTTCTCTCATGGTGGAAAAAGGTAACAGCGTTACTTTTCCGCGAGAAAAATCTAGGCACCTAAACTTTGAGATATATAGCGTAAACTGACATACCTGACCTAGCATTACGTGAAATAGAATACAAACAAAATCCGAGATTCTATTTTCTATTTGAAATGTTACACAAATAATTAAGCTATTATGCTTTTTATATATTGTGGTCTTTTTAAAAAAATATATTATATTGCTAATAAAAGTCACAATGTTTTATTAATGTACATTCCGAAAATTTAAGTTAATTGGTATAACATGTGAGAAAACAGTTGTTCCAACAGACACGATAGTAGGTAATAGTTTCGTAAAAAATGGCCCCGCGACGCATTAATTTCCATATTTTTAATTCCTCTCGGATCTTTATTCGTAAAACAGTTCTTCGAAAAACTTGTTACCTGAGCGGGAGGAGAGGCGAGTTGATGTCTTATTCATTTATGTAAAATACTTTGTAGCGCTCAGGATTAATAACATTACGTCTCTCGCGAGGAACTTCTAATCCGGCGGTAGACGGTGCGCATTTACACAATATCTCTGATTTAATTTATCATTTTTACAACGGGAGCGCGAGAATGCGCCGAAAACGTTCTCGCGCAATATCGCCGAATCGTTCCCACAGTTCTCGTTATCATTTTCCTCATTTCTCGCGCGACTTTCCTCGCCGGACAATACACCTCGGGATCGATCGGCGGCGAACGGACGGCGCATTTCGTCGAATTCACCGGAGACCGACGCGCGCGTCGTTGGCAGTTTCCATTTAACACGACAATGCATACCAGTCGAAATGGGATGCGATCGCGTATGCAGTATGCACGCGATATACCAACGGTGCTGGCATTCATCAAGGAAGACGCGGATTTACTCGTGCAAGTTCGCGATAAAGCCTCGATGGATTACGGGAAAATATCGGCCGACGTGTAGCGGCGTTCGAGAAATGTGTGCGCGTTCCTCCTCCGTTCTTGTACTCTTGACAAAGTGATTAATAGAATCACAAGCTGGAATTTTATTTTATTTTTTTTTCATTTTTTTTTTTTTTTTACGCTTTTACGATACTCTTCTATACTTCATTTTAGCTCCGATTAGGTGTATTTACTTCAGCGAATCTTTTCGCGGCGCAGAAATTAAAATGAATGAATTTTGTCGGACGGAGTATCGCGGTGTATAGATATATCCTTTTATAATCCGGCCGACAGGAGAAACTCGTTATTTTTCTCACCCTCACCGGCGCGCGGTATCGCGCATCGCGCTCGAAATATCGAATTAGAGAGCGTCGACAAAAGCAGCGGTGACGGCGAGAGACGCGCGTTTCCCTTTGTACGTTTCTCTTTCTCCCGCTGTCTCATTCGTGTCGAACGACGACGACGACGGCCCTTTCCCTTTCCGCGCTTTGGCGCGTATCCATTGGACGAAATCTTATTAGCATGAAAAGAGCTCTCGGGGATTTCATCGGGACAACGAGCCGCGGGCGAGATGTTCCCTCGATCGATTATCCCGTGAACTTTCTTCGTCACTTCATCGACGAAACAATGAAAAATTACTGTCCGCGGTTGTAGTTTTACATTGAAAAAAATTTTTATGTAAAATTACATGATTAAGGTTTTTTTTCCGACCCAGCATAATCATGGAATATTGATACTTACATGGAAGATTACAGATTGTATGTAATTTTATATGAAATATATTTTTAAATATTTATCAAGATTAAAAATATTTCACTGAACATGTAATTACACATAGGAAATGTTAGGAATGTATAAATGCTATAAAATAATGTTATAAATAAAATAGATAAGTACTTGTAAAATAAAATTCTAATAAAGTAAAAATGGTAATTTAAAATTACATATGATTTTTGCATAAAAATAGTAATTTTATCTATACTTTACATGTATTTTTACATTAATATGTATTTTCACTTTAAAACAAATGGAAAAAAAATTATAATGATAACTCTCTCTAGTAATTTCCATGTAAAAGTACATGGATTTTTTTCCACTTTTCAAAAATAACAAATCAATAGCGCGGAATAAAGTCCTATAAAATTAAGAACTCGACGATTATTAATATCAAAGTACCTGTTAATTAATGTTGCGTTAAGACATCAAACAATAATCTCGTTTTAAATTGCATCGATTAAAGAGTTGTTTGGGAATATAGAGAATGAGCTTAAAAATCGAAACTATATCAGTTTGAAAGTTCATAAATAATTCTACAGCAAGACTGATTCAATATTTTTATTTTATTTTAAGTAGTATAAGTCGACGTCGACTCAGCAGCCCCTCCACAAAGTATTGAATTCTTGTCTAGTCGACGAGCTCAAAATTTAATTTGCGGAATATAAATAGCATTTTTATAATAGAAAATTTATCATTTTACGAAGACGAAAGATGGTTCGTACCTCGATTACAATGTGTATATTAAAAAATAAGGGGGACAAGTTTCCGGGACGATTGTCCTAAGAAAATACATGCACCTGCGACTAAATATAATAACGGAGAGAGACTTACGAAACTTTAATACGAATCTAACGAGATGGCTAAAGAAGGCCGTCATCTAAATGGCTTGTCTGGAATTTCTATGAATGCAAAGATCCTACAAAAGAGCGTTTCTTTAATGCTTATGCAGTTGGGGTTCGCCATTCCGCACAAACAGGCATACTAATTCCGGTCAGACTTGCGAAGACATGGAATTCTTCCGTACCGTAACTTTCAAGAATAATTTGTTTACAACTCCCCGTCCAACAACAACAACTCTGAAATACGCCTCAGGAATTGTCTCTTGGTTGTGACAAACGCTCGACTCTCTTCGACGACGTTAATTAGCCAAAAGCAGATCCACAAAGAACTTTGTTAACATCGGTGTCCCGATGTTACTCGTAATGGTCGCAGTAATCAAAGACGAAACGGAATCTTTATACAAGGCTCTCTGTATGTGCTACCATATATACGCAATAACCGAGCACGAATCCTATTATGCAATAAAATTTATAAAAAAAAAAAAAAAAAAGGTGAAAGAATCGTAGATTCGCCGCGTCGAAGAGGCTTCCATCGGATGAAAGCTTCGTTAAAATCCTAACGAAGAGCACGCGAAAGCTTATTAAATCTGGCCGATGCTTTTCAGCAAACGCTTTTCAGAAAATGCTGTATTTACAGGGCAAACGGTAACGAATGGGAAAAGGTAGAAAGACGTTTCCGAGGGGCTTCTCGCGCGAGGGGTTAATCCCGACGGGCTAGGCGCGCAGGCCGGCGAAAAAAAAGAAAAAAAGCTGGAAAAAAAAAAGATCAAACAAGAGACGCGGCGATATTTCTATTGAGCGAACGAGGCCGATTAATTCCGCGATTATACTCGCGGTCGCACCAACCCGTAATCGTCATCCGTTTTCAATTTACATCGAAACGAGCTGCCACGTTCGCGTTTCGCGAATATATATATACATATATATATATATATTCGGTGACCAAAGCAGTCCGTGATAATGAAGTCCGTGTCCTGCGCAAAGTTTCGAACGCGACGCGGATTAATTTCCGATTAATCCCTCGCGAATGTAATCGAACGATAGATTTCATCACGCGCGATCTACCTCGAACTGTTCTTTAAACATTAATTCATCGACGTCAGAAATTATCTCACAAATTGACGTTATTAAAAAAAAAAAATAATAAAATTATCTTTTCAGTAATACGATTCGGCCACCGCGTCTGGATGATGAAGAAGCGAGACGCAGATTGAGAGAACACGCGGAAGGGAACGCGACGAGAAATAACGAATCCTACACCTCGAGCCCTTAATTCGCAAGCTACGAATTAAGGGTCCGTCGGAGCTCATTATCGCCACAATGGCGAGCCGAAATGAATTTTTGGCCGTAAACTTGGCGAAAGTATTTCTCCCGTGGCCTTTACCACCCTGCGTGCACGCACGTACTCATTGCGAACTGATGCAAACGAAAAGTTTGTATTACGGCGATTCGTGCCCGAGCGTAATTAAGTTACTCCTTTCGAGTTAACGTCGGCCGCGCCCGGTAATTTCCGCAGTTTTCAACGCAACTTTCCGCCAAGTTCCGCGCGCGAAGCGACCAATGGAGAATGCCGCGAGATTGTTCCCGACATGCGGTCCCTTTAATGCGCGCGCGCGCGCGCCCTCTCCTTCTCCCGACTCTTTGTTATATTAATTACCGCAGTCACCGCGTTGTACACCTATAAAGGGAAGCCGCAAGGGAGAGAAGCCTCGTCGGATTCTCTGCTGCAAAGGCGCGGCGACGACGATCTCCCCCTTTAATAATCGATTCTTAATACTTTCGCACGGTCTACGCGTAATTCCATTAAAGTCTGCCAAGGTCTCGCAAGCACTTCCGTTACTTTAATGCTACAGAAACCACGGTTAAAAAAAAGAAAGGCAACGAGCAATTTTTTTTC